TTAAATGCTCTTAAGGGGAGAAAAAAAAGTGTTCTATAACATGGAAGCAGGCTGCATTTTTTCAGCCTGAGAAATTCCAAATTTTTGGTGCTGAATGAGGAAAAAGGAAGTATTTTCATTCAAATTTACAGATTTTATCTTTCTAATTGCATTTTTAAAATTAGATATTTGACTTTTCAGTCAATTTTTGTACAGTTTTGTTTAAATAGTACTAGGGAAAAAATCAGGACTTTTCAAAGGATTTTTTTTCTGTTTGCCTGTAATTAAACCAGATTCAGCTAATGAATAATCATTGTGCTTTGCAGGATGCTTGGAGTTACTGTATCCTTGATTTGAGAAAATAATTTCTGGCAGTGTAAGGCAGGGTGCCAGCAGGTCTTTAAACTCCATCTCCTGAGCACCCTTTGTTGCCTCTCTACTCTGGGAAGATAAAGGGGGGATCCTGCTCTTCGGACCCTCAAAGCCTCTGGAATTCTTTTTGGGAATGCCACTGGATGGCAGCATTTTTCCGTGTAACTCTGAAGAGAGGCAGTGGGGAGAGGCTCATTAAGGGAAAAAGGTTAAAGAAAAAAAAAATAAAATAAAGTGAGCGGGGAAGGAAGAAGCCACATTGAAGGTTGCCACTTTGAAGACCAGCATGCATCTTTGCTTCAGTGTAACTTATGCAAATCTCCAGTATTTGCCTCTCTTCTTTTAATTCCCTGGCAGACAGGATACATAAATTGCAATGAGGAAATCAAAGGCAGAATCTGACTTTATTTTTTTCAGTGCTTTTCTAGTTAGGGGGATCTATTCTAAAGTGGAAAGCTAGCTTCTGTCTGTGAGAAGATGAGCAGTGTTTGTGAGTTTTCTCCATTCTCTTTCTTTACTGTTAGAGCCAATACTTTCTCGGCTATTTTGGCTTGTGCTTCAGAATGCAAGTTGACTCGCTTTTCTTATGATTTGCCCAGGCACTCATATGAATGAGCTTTAACACAAGCAACTTTGTTCATTTCCATCAGCTCTTGTGCTTACCTTGCAAATGACATGATACCTTCTTTCCTACTTCTGGCATATGTAGGGGGCATGATAGCCCTTTTCTTCTCTCTCTCATATTTTCAATATGTCCTGATTCCAAGATCCTCTCGGATACATTACAGGCTGTTACCAAAGATAACTTAGGGTCCCCAGGAGGCAGTCCATGGCAGCAGTTCCTTTGTGATTGGTTCCTGGTTTGCCTTCCAAGGCTGACCCAGCTGCTTCTGAGCTGTGTCTAGCTTTTCTATAAGTTCCCGATCAGTCTGTGAGTTGGAAGCCAGCATACAGACTAGGAGAGAACTCAAGCTAGTAAGCTTAACAAAGGATCACCAAAATAGGTTGTCATAAACTTGTGGTATTATATTCCACTGAAGATTTATGGAGAGAAATATATGTAACCTACTTTTGTAAGTTAATTATTTGAACCAATTAGATAGGGGGATGTGTGTGTAATATATATAGATAGATATATATGTATGGCTATAACTAAAAACCAATAGATCATGTATGCTGACCCAGGCAATGGGAAAATATGTAGCCTCATGAGGAGTTAGCAAACTTTCAATGCTAGACAGTTTTTTTAATATATTTTTTTTTTCTCTGTATCTTCTTGTAATTGGGAAGGTGTCATTTGGCCTAGTCCAGCAGGGGAAAAAAAACAACAGTCAGATCAGCTCTGCTGGCATGACATGAGGGGGAAATGGCAGTGGCTTATCATGGGTATTTCAGAATATGTGATTTTCTCTAGCTTACACCCAAGCTAACTCACTCAGGAATGCTTAAGCAAAATTCCTTTGCTTATCTTTGGAGAACTAGAGCTCATGATCTGTTTCAATATTACAGAAAAAGCACTCACAGTTTTAAGGCTTGTCGTTCTGCTTTTGTCTTCTCTCCCCCCCCATCCCTCATCATGGCCTATGCTTGAAAAAAATTGATGTTGAATAGTGTGGTTTCATTTGGGAAAGGTTAGTGTTTTAGAGGAATGGCACTGTTTACTTCTTCAAGGAGAATTGGAAGGTCAGAGATGGGGGATAAATTGTTGTTTCTTGCAACAATTGTCATTTGATTTTTATTAATTTTTCTGTGTTTCTGTAAGTTACCTTTGCATAACCAATCTCTGATACTGCAAGTGTACGCTACTGATAGGTGTCTGCCAAATGTTCACTCCTTTGTCATCTCAGAAAGGCTCTTTTCTTCATCATGGATACCTACCCTAATTTTAAAGAAAGCTCTGCACATATTACAAGTTTCCGGGTTATGCTGTTCTGTCTGGTGTGGAGAACACTGCTGGCATTATTGCTGAGCATTCAAGACTGTCAACTTAAGTTCTCAAGCTCCTTTTGTATTCTTCTTTCATCCTCTGACATGTATTTGGTCTCATTTCTTTTCTGTTCTCCTTTGCCTTCTCTCCAAAGATATGCATGTTGAGCTGGCCAGACATTTTTCTGCTCCTGACCTTATCTAGGCAGCTATTGAATCACAAATAGCAGAGAGAGAGTGAGCTGCAAATACCCTCAACAGTGTGCCTCTTGCTTGATCATTAGGATGAAAGGAGAAATGGGTAACACAACAGTATGGGTACCAGCTTTAAAAAGAAGGAGATTGCAATGCATTTCAGGTCTTTTAAAAGACAGCCCAGGATTTTTTTATTTTTAATGGAAATGTCACTTGCGAATAGAGAAACTTTTGAGTGATGTGTCTGCTGTACTGCTCAACAACGATACAGAGAGCTGGCTGACATGGTTGGTGGTCCTCAACTCCCTGAACACTGCTGGCCAAATAAATGCGATTTGAGAGGCTGTTCCTGTGCCATGATGGGCACTGGCTATTGCAGGGCTTGACTTGCCTGAGAGACAAAACAGCTGACAAATCTGGGGCCTTAAGGCAATTTAATTGGTCCTTGGCTCTTATACCCTTAGAGTGTGGCGAGCCACTGGAGGTAAAATTAATGATGTTTTGGCTGGGCCATTTATAGAGGTGTGGTTTGTGGTGAAAAAACCCACCAAATTAGCTGTAAGAAAAGTAAAGTTGTGGAGTTTAAAAACATCTGTTTTCTGTGTAGTGCAAACCTAGTCTGTGAGGAGAAAACAATACGTTCTTGTCTTAAAAGGTTGCTGTTGATGTTTAGGGATCAAAATTATAAACCAGTACACTAGATATTTTAAAAGAAAAACAAATTTTGCTCTATGTAGATAAATAGAACATTATTCCTATCACCCACAATGCTTTATAAAGCAGGTAAATTTGCTCACAGTTGGTTGGAGGACTTCCCCTCTCCTCATCTTCCACCTCTTGTGTTTGGCAGGTATATATAGCTACCTTGTTTGCAAGACCACACAGGGAAACTTTAAGTATAAAAGCAAATGGCTTCCAAAAAGACTGTAAGCTTTGATTATAGCTGCACAGCTTCGGGTCTCTGAGATAGTTATCCCTGAGAGGATGGTCTGTACATACAGTCAATACTGTCTAGACATTGTACATTAAGTACAAGTGTGACATGCTTAATATTTTTGAAGCAGACTTCTCTGTGTTAGTGATCTGCTTTCTACCCCAGGATTTAGACAGGGTTAATGGCACATACTTGGTTCACCTGACTGCTCCCTGCTGGATGGGATTGTAATTGTCCAATTTGGTGTCATTCATGACCCATGACTAATGGATCCACCTTTGATTGACAGTGTAAAACGTTTTGGAGGAGGGCAAAACTCACTCTGTGCCCAGGTTGAGTGGGAGGCACTAAGCACTCTCAGAGCGCATTGACCTGCCTGATGCCTAGGCAGGTTTAGGTTTATGGCACTGGATACTGTGTAACTGAGACCCTGGTTTATCAACGAGGTAATCATGCACATGATGATGTCCCCTGTTATGCAGCAGTGTGGAGTCCCTTGTTTGATCCAAATTATCAGCCAAGGTATGGGTGTGACAGTATTTAGACAGAAACTGGTAAAGCACTTGCATTTGCTTTATTTATGCCTATTTTCTCTGTGTTTTGTTTTTCTCAGCTGTATGCAAGATAGAAGCAGAAGAAACAAGTGTTCTTAAATGGTAGAAAAATGCAAAGAAGCGGGAAACCCAATATCACCATACTTACACTTCTTACTTGTCTCTCAGCTTTTTACATATAAATATTTAATTGTCTATATCTAAGAACATACTTTCTAAAGATTTTCTGGGGTAGAAATCCTATTTACTGATCTTTAACATATCTCCACTCCTGTTTTAACAGACAGGTATGCTAGCAAACATGTGCAGACATTGTGACTAGGAGTCATGTTGTTAGCAGAATAAAAGACAAGTCTGAACAGGAAGGCAACGTCACAGAGTTTACAACTTGCTTCTCCTCATCTCCACTGCTTTATTTAGAATAACAAAGAAAACAAAACAAAACTAAAAACCCAACCCAAAACAAAACAAAAACCCCCTGATTTTTATGTGGTCTGACTCATGACTTTGACCAAGCAAAGTAAATTACATTGGAGTGGGGAGGAGCTCTTCTCATAGCATCCATGTCCCTGGATCCCAGGTATCCTTGTCTGCCAAGGACGCTGTTCTCCCCTTGAAGCCATCTTGAGCCCAATTGCAGTCTGGCAGCTCCCAGAACCATTCACAGCGTGCAGCAGAGGTGATGCTACAAAACCAATGCTTTCTGCTCCTGCTCTTAGTGCTCAGTGGTGCTCTTTGCCTCTAGCACGTGTTTTTCTAGCCTTTTTGAAAGCATAAGCTCAGCCAAAAAAATGTAAGTACTGAAGTGACAGCTGACCTCTACAGTTTTATGCAAAGGCAGAGGTGTCTTGTGCAGCCCCTTTACAGTACAGCTGTAGTCTGTGCCTGAGAGTAAATCAATAAGTGCACAGATGTAGTAGCAGAGCAGGCACAAATTCCGTGACTTACTTTCAATCTCTGTTTGCAGAAAATTCCTGTAATGGTCAATTTTCCTAATCTTATCATTCTCCCTCCTTCACTCCCCTTCTGAAATACTGAAGAGAGAGGTTTGGAGCTTGCTGAGAAAGGTTTTCTAGAGGTGAATGTTCCTGTGTCCAGTGTCTGGGAAGCAGCTACAGATGGGGGCTGCCCTTTGTACCACTCTGTGCAGACATGCAGCAACCAGACACCATGCAGCTCTTCAGAACCTGTCCTAGAGGTAACAGTATATAATGAAATAACTTTCAGCCTCACTTGGGCTCCTAAGCCTCCCATAGCTGTTGGCAACTACTGAGAGACAAATTACATGCTTTTCCAGTGCTGTCCTTTATAATGATTATGCCTTAACAGTGGGAGGAAAGGGGGTAGTTACGAGTAGGTTTAATCCCAAAGGATGGTTCATTTCCTCTAACTACCACACTTACCAGTAGCTCTGTTCTCCTTCCCTCAGCCTCCCTCCCTCCTCTCCTCTCTTTCCCCTTATCCCATCCCTTGGCAAAGTTACCTTTGCAGTCATGGCCTGCTCATGGCAAGGATTAATGGTTTATTGGAATTTGCATACCTTACAGTAGTGTGGCACATATTCTTATGAATGCAATGCACCACAGTATATAATTTCATTAAATTGTACATATTATGGTTATTTCCTGTCATTCCCAAGACCTCTATATGCAGTTTTATCAGTCTCAAATGGCAATGAAATAAAAAATAAAATAAAATGGAATCATGCCTAAATACATGCAGAGAGGTCAAGGGACCCCATATGCTGACTACAACAACAAATTTATTGTCTCATTTATGTGTGGGCAAGGAAAGGGAGCAATTTCTTCACTATATTTTAATTAACTGTGTTTCACTGTGTGGTAGTAAAGATAATAACCGTAACATTAGTGCAACTACTACAGTATCAAATGCTTGTCACAGCCTTATATTCTCCAACAATATAGTTTCACAATGGAAACATGCACAACAAAAGAGCATCTTGTTTTGTTAATTTACTAGGGCTCTGTGTTTTTGGAAGGCCAGTATATATTTCTTGGGAAATTGGGACTGATTAAAATAGAAAGAAGTGTACATAGTAGAGAATAATATTTTTACTGGTGTGGGATTCATTTAACAAAAGTGTTCCTTCAGGAAAACAGAACAAAGATGCTAATGTTATACCTCATTTATTGCCAGCATATTCAGTGACATTTCATAATGTACATCTGTCAGCCAGAGATATAAATGAATGAGGTGAACCATGCAATTTACCCTCAGGAAGTTCCATTAGAGCCCCCAAAGTATAATATTTATGAGGTCAGAATCAATTAATCAGATAGCTGTATTTGCTTTTCAGCTCAGCATGCTCTTCTGCACCAAGCTGTTGCATTGAGAAAGTCTTTCCTATTTGGTAAGAGGAGTCAGTTTGTATGTGCTGCATGTAGTCTGTTTTGTAAATCAGTTGCTTTCCTTACACAGTTTATGCTCCATACAAATACAAACTATAAATTAAGTGAATGCAAAATGTGTCTCTATCAAAATACATAGAAGACTTGTCTATTTCCTGCTCACTGCTGTAGCCCAGCCCCATGCAAATCTGTTGAAAATGAGAAAAAAAACCTGGGAGTAAATGGTGCACCTCAACCAAAGATAATTCCAATAAACAGAAAGTCTTGCTGGGAAAGGAAGTGAAAAATAGGTAATTTTAAAAATTTTAAAATTACTGATTTAATCAAAAGAATCCAACCTCATGAAGAAAACTCAGTACGTTTTGAGATGTGTTACCAAAATGGTTTTCCTGTGGAACCGTGTTCTGAATGCTCATTACTGTAATTCCCCTTTTTTGGTTTGACTGACCGTGTGTTTGCCTCCCTGAGAATGTGCATGGTATTATTTCTGTTGTAAATTGCAGTCGTTTCCTGGGCTATTTTCAGATGTCTTAGAAACCACTCCTGGCACTCTGACGCTGGTGGAGGAGCAGGCTCTTGGCTGCCAGGCAGCTATTTTGTTTTAGGGCTGAGCTCCCAGGAGCTGCAGGTGCACTGCAGACCTGCTGAAGCACCACTGACTGGTCATTCTGGCTTCTGCAGGGTGCTGGCTGCTCCACTGCCTGCCAGGCATGAGCTTGGTCAGTGCCCAGCTGTAGACTCCCTGTTCCTAAGTGGAGTGTTTCTTGTGAAGAGATTTTTAAAAACATAATTGTAATTTAGATCTAGGGAGGTTTCATTCTGCATACGGAATGAATATCGATCATATTGTGGGTTTCTTTCTTTTTTTTTTTTTTTTGTGCGTAGACAACAGATGCAAAAGACAAATTTTGATTGTGAAATCTGTGTAATGTTTGCACTGTCATAACTGATGCCAAGATGTGAGCCAACATTTCTAAGTTTCTTTAAAAATGAGTTTATTTAAGATGGTTCAAAAATCCTGTTGTTTAATAAAATGACTTTTCTCTTCCTAGAATGCTTCTTGAGGATGAAAGTGAAAGCAAGAAGGACGTATCTCAAATCACTGATAGGATTATTTCTAGCAAAGGATTAACGGGGAAAAAGTCCCAGAACAATGCTTTACCTTCACAGTTTATGAGTAAAATCCATAACAACTAATGTATTTTGTATGTAAAGCTTTCCATTTTGTTGTGGGGAGTTGAATATCTCATACTTCAGATTTGGTCTTTTGCTCTTAAAGAATGTGGATGGTAAGACAAAGTTGGGATTGTTTTCAACCAAACCTACTGTCAGAAAATGCTGATACATCCATAAACTAATACCCCTCAGGATGGGAGATCTGGGCAAGAGAAGAAGAAGGGATGAGGTCACTGAGTACCACATAGCCCTGTGTTTGTAAGTGCTTACTTCAGAAATAAAGAGCAAGGCTCAGTGTACATCTGAAAGCCAGGAAGTGGCCCAGTGTGGTTCTAGGGTAAGTGCACTCAACTCATTAGGTGCTTCTGGCCAAATGGAGAGTAAGACGGAAGAAGTTTAGCAGTTTCAGTAGCTGAGTGGGACAGAGAGCAATCAGCCATTTATCAGGAATATAGAAAAGCAAGTTCTAGTATTTGTTTTATAGAAGTCAGTGCCAGTGACCTCAATGCTGCTGCTTCCATTCCCAAGTGAACATCTCAACCATTCCTTAGGGAGTTTCTCCTTTCTTTCTGGGCTCTTGTGCATCAGAATGAAACGACTGAATGGCAGTCAAAATCTGCCTGCCTGTGAAGCAGCAAAAGGCAGAGGTAGGTGTTCCAGCATTCTCCACTGTGGTAGACCGTGACTCTGTCTTTATGAAACAGCCAGCTTATCAGCAAATGCAGTATTTCTATAAGCATGATGTGTGCAGAGTCTGATTTGTGTATATTTATTCTCAGTACCTAGTTGCATCAAGACATGGTGAACATCATTGTGTTTCTGTTTGCTTGTTTTTATTTTCTTTGGGCTAGTGAGCATTATTGGTGGGATATCACTGACCAGCTGGAATTCATGATATTTCTCTTCTGTGTGATTTTGCTACTGAAGCCTTGTAAACAGAGGGCAAACGCTTCTGGAAGAAGAGTGAATACCCTTGTTTGCATATGAATAAGTATTTGTATGGCCCTTATTCTCAGCATTTATGCAAATACAAACTCATACATGTGAATGGGTGTGGAAAAGGGAACAAAAAAACCAGAATCAAAATGAGAGGCTGGATTCATGGAAATGTTTGTTTTCCATTATTTGTCCTGCTCCTTTCATCTCTTCTGTTGCATAGGGTTTAAAAAATGGCCCACACCACGTGTGAGACTGTTTTTGGGATAAGGCTTTCTGATTCAACCAGCTAGCAGAAGGAAAGAATAGCTCATCTGAATGGATCACATAATTTTTTTCCAGTCAATGCTCCAAGTTTTCCTGCATCTCCTACGATTGTAGGACAACTCAGGAGACCAAAATCAGTGATGATTTTCGAACAAGATGAGATAACAGTTTCCTTTTCAGGAGTATTATTGCAGTCTACTCTATGTTAGTAGATAAGGCAGTGTAGATTTTGCCCTCTTTTCCTGAAAAGTAAGTAATAAGCACAGAAAGTAATTTCTTATCTGACAAGGGGAACTCTCCTTCTGCAACCAACCATAACTATCTCATCTCACTGTCTGTTGATACAGTCCCTGTCACATACTACCCTGCACCTTGCAGCTGGGAACTGCTTGGGATACTGCAGGCTGGCTAGGACTTCTGCTTGATAAACAGTTTTTACAGATAACTGTTCTTCCAAAGTAGAGCAAGAGCAACAGAATTATGAATTAGCAAAGGAATAAGAGGAGCTACAAATGACTATTTCTGTATTAGCACAATGCTTTGTGGCAAGACCTGAAGGAAGTCAGGTAAGGTGTTGCCTCTTAATTTAGTACAGATCCTTCATCTCCCACAAACCTACATCCTGGAAGCCCCTTTTAGACTAATTGGTATGTGCTTCCCTAGGTTTATGCACATTTATTATGGAAGCGTTTAGTTGTGTTTTTTTTTCTAGGCCTACCTTTAAAATTTTATCTAAGTTTAAAATTTTATCTAAGTTTTCATGTTAGCATGGGCAGCAATTATTCACTGATATACTGTGGGATTACATCCAGTAAATTAAGATAATTCTTGCTCTGTTCCCCTTCACCATATCAAAATCACCTGTTTGCAGTTGATATGCCCTGTGACTGGAGATCAGATGTCCATTGCTCATGTATGCCCTGGTCTCTTTTAACACTTAGAATTACTACTTAGCTGCTTGCGTTACAGCAAAAGATATGACCCAGTCACCTTCACAAGTGTCCTCCAGAATCCCTCTAGCATACTGTAAGCAGTTCCTGATGGTTACTGCAGACCATCTCAAGCAGTATCTTAAACTAATATTTGGCTTATGAATGACAAATAGGAGAGGCAAAAATGATACCTCTGTAGAGGGAGAGGAAGATGGGAAAATCTGGTCATGACACATTCTTTAAACAAGACCCCAGAATAGTTAATTGATTGTATTTTGGTTGACTGAGAAGATTTATGATCTTTGTGTGGAAGGAAATCTTAAGAAGACCTTGGAAATTAGGTAAGAACAGTATTTTGGGTCACGTTTCATCATGAACAAGCAGTGCAGTGCTAGAAAGTTTGTGAAGGTAAGAAAAAGAGAAAGAAAGTAACAAAGTTATTGGAAACGAACATATTTTTTGGCCATCTGGGATAGGGAATGGTATCACAGAAAAGTAGGATCTGAAGGTTGAAAATCAAATAGTATATGACAGCAAGCTGAAAAGAGGAGTCAGGGAGTTGTAAAGAACAATCAAGCAAATGCAGGAAATCTAGTTACTACATGCAGAGAAGGATGCTGAACAAAAAAGAAAAAAAAGATATTATTCAAAGGTTCTTTTAAATGAGGGTAACAAAAAACCTCCTTTCCACATCTAAGGCACTGTACAGTGAGAACTAGGGAGAATAATAGGAAAAATACATCAATGGATAAATAAAGCGAGGTAAACTCTAGAACAGAAATATCTACCAATAATTTGTGGGGAAGATAGTTCATCAGACTGTTCAAAAATCAAACATATTAGTAATGTAAGGAAGGATATCACCTCAGTCTTAATGTTACTGCAGATGGTTTGGGGGCTGTAAAAAAACTCCGAAAAAACAAAAAAATCCCCCATGGAGCAGAGTACATGATCTGCCCAACATGAAGAACACGGGAGAAGGTTCCTGTAGGTTCACTGGCTTGTCTTGTCATTGAGATTGTGCTAAGAACTGGAGGTACATGGCTGGAGAACAGTGCTGCACTAGCGTAGATATGGGGTTTCTGCATTGGAGGTAATATGTACTTTGCACAGGGTAAACTAACTCTATATATACAATTTGCAAAAAGCTGTATGGATAAATGTATCTCTATTTATCTAGGAAAATCCTGAAAGCAAAATACGAGGGAAGCTTTGTGGAAGTTGTGCAGGAAGTTTGTGTCCCCTTTAAGTTAAACAAAACTTATTGAAACTTACTGTAGTGAGATTAACATATAGTGCATTGTTCAGCTGAAGTAAAAGTGTCTCCCTTATGCTGATTTATTCGAATTGGGACGTAAACAGAGCTATGTGTTTTATATACAGTGAGATGAGTTCAGATTAGCCTGTAGTTTGACTTTATTTCATATTATTTACTGATTTGCTAAAAGAATGACCGTATTCCAAACTATCTTAATTCTCTTATGTAATTCCATGGCTGAAAAAGCTTGCATTTAAAGTAATTTTTTTTTACCTTTTTTTTTTTTTTTTTTTTTTTTCAAAAAATTAGATATTAGACTATGTATGAGCATTTCAATTGTCAGGGGTCAGAGCAGGATCGTGAACAATGAAATGATTTATTGCTGCTCTTCCAGTTGAAGATAATGTGAAACGGTCTTAGTAGCCTAATGAAGTTTTTTATAAAGACAACTTAAAGCCCATCAAAAAGTACCATTATTTGATAGTTGGTTGAATGAATTTATTGTCCTGTAAATAGAATTGTATGCTAAGAAATTAGCTAAGTTTTCTATAATCAATTCCTTTTTCTTGAAATTAAGCTGGTTTTAAAAAATATTCTCATTCCAGGAATATATCTCCTTTAGTTTTTTTTTTTAATGTTTGCATCAGCCAAAACTCCACCGAAATCTAACGAGCCTCTGTATTTAATCTGATGTAACTAGGCAAATAGAATTGGGCTTGATATTTTGATGTGTGCATCATCTGGGTCCTGTACAACTTGCACCCTTGTGTAATACATCAAAATTTGTCCTGCTAGATAAATCAGGAGAGGGGAGAGGAAAGACGTAATAGATTTTATGTTTCAAATCTGCATATCCAAACGCAGGATTGCCTTGTTGGACTGGGTTTATGTACCAGAGCTGTAGCTGGGTAATTCAGAAGGCTGGTATGCCTCGTTCTCTCTCACAGTATTGAAAAAGAGAAGTTGATATCTGTGCAATGATGCCTTAATGAAAGGGACAGTTAATTATTTTTGACAAAGGCAGACAAATGGGAAAGCTTCAATGTAAATGGTTGTTTGCCATGTTTGGATTCTGCCAAAACCACAAACTCTCTCTCTCTGTATATACCATTTGTGACTGAATACTACAGCCAGTTCATATTGACTCTTGTTAGACACTGGAACTTCTTCTAAAAATGTAAAATGCTTGGAAAATTTTACAGAATAAAGCTTTTTTGAGAGTTATCATACACTATTCATTAACTGGTTTATTTTTGATTGCTGAGTTCTTTACTTGGTACTATATTTTAAACCATTTCTTAAATAAACCTAGCATGTCCTGTACCAGCAACTTGTCCTTCAACTTGACTTGCAATATATGTTTTTATATCCTACTATTTTTATCAATTTCTTATACAAATACAAGCAATTCCCTGAATTTTTTAAGTAGATGGAGTTTAGACACTTGAGATCACTAGGATTACAGGTGTAGATTCTGCCAAGCTGAATCTTAAAAGGTTGATTTAAACTGTTTACAGCTTGAAACTGTGATGTAATGGTTGTAGTCCTAGCCTCCAGCTCATGAATGG